GAAACACGCTAGTTCCTCCACGCTCCGCCTTACACCTTTTGCGGCGCAGACTCCCCGTCCTTCATAATATGGCCTTGCAGGCGTCGCCGTAGCGCTCAATGGCACTTTGCCAAGTCCTTTGATTTGCGCTTTCAAGTACAAGTAAAACGCAATTTCCTGATGCGCGATAACATTGAGGTGCTGCAAAATAAGAACAGAAGATGATGACGAGGGTCAGAACTTAAAAGCAACTGTGCCACTTCTGCAACATCCCTCGAGGCCGCGTATTTCCACGCAAACATGAAAATAGAACGCAACATCGTTGGCTTGTTTAATGCAAAAACGCATGCGAATGAAATTTCAGGTGTTGCTCATTTCAAAATCCATGTACAAGGAGATGAAGATGGCACAGGCTAGAAATGAAGCACAACAATGTAAATGTAAATAAAACAAAAATCAAAAAAAAACCAAGGAAAGGCAAATTAGTGGAAATCGCCTGTAAATTTCTGAGATCCGGCGCGAATCCGGCGCCAAAGCCATAGAAATATTAGGTTGTCCGGAAAGTTCTCAGCGTTTTGTGCACCTATTTTTTGTACATTCACTGCTGATTAAAAACTCATTCTGCCTTGCTTCTCAGTAGCACATCCTGTAGAGAATTTCTTGCGCTATCTGATGGTGTAATTGCCGTTTCACCGTTGCTTGATAAACCCCCTTTTTTCAAGAATTTTTCAAGCATGTGAAAAGAGCACTTTGGACGATTTTTTTCTTCGACTATAAATTGGGGCAATCCGAAATCGAAACAGCTCGACAAATTAACCAGGTGTGGGGGCCCAATAGTGCTAGAGAAAGCACTGTGCGGCAATGGCTCAACAAATATCGTTCTGGAGATTTCAGCCTTGAAGGTGAACCTCATAGCGGTCGACCTAAAGCAGTATCTGACGAGGATTTTAGGGGGATTTAGGAGGTTGACCCATCCCAAACAGTTCGAGAGATAGCAGAAGAGCTAGGCCTTGGCAAATCCACTGTTGCAGATGGTCTGGAACGCATTGGGAAGGTAAAAAAAAACTCGACAATTGGGTGCCCCACAATCGGAGTGACCGGCAGGAATCGCCACGTCTCGAGGTTCCTTCTGCATTGCTTTTGCGCAGCGGAAATGATCTGTTTTTGGGTCGAATTGTCACCTGTGATGAAAAATGGGTCGTGTATGATAACAGGATGCGTTCCGGACAGTGGTTGGATTTCGACGGGCCACCGAGGTAATTTTTAAAGCGGAACCCTCACGAAAAAATATTCTGGTCACGGCTTGGTGGTCATCGGCTCATGTGATCCACTATAACTTTTTATCACCAGGCCAAACCATCACAGCAGAACCCTACTGTGAAGAAATCGACGAATTGTACCGAAAATATTGTCAGATGCAGCCAACACTTATCAAAAGAAAGGGTCCGATTCCTTTGCGTGACAACGCCCGCCCACCGTTTCACAAATCACTATCCACAAATTGAACGAATTGGGGGGTGAAGTTCTACCTCGGCCGCCATATTCTTCAGACCTTTCGCCAACCGACTATCACCTTTTCTAACATTTTTAGAACTCCATAGCTGGAAAATACATCATCATTCAGGACCAGGCAAAAAAGCCTTAGTGGATTTCGTTAATTTTCGACCACCCAGTTTTTCATTTTGATGGGATTTCTCGACTGCTGTCACATTGGCAAAAGTGTGTTGATTCGAATGGTGCCTATTTCGATTAAATCCGATGAGTATTAAAAAAGTTACGATCGTTTAAAGTGAAACACCCAAAACGCTGAGAACTTTCCGGACAACCTAATACTTGGAATAAACGAGTGGGACGCTTGGATTGTTTTTATTCTCATGTTTTCTGGGAATGCGCGGCCTCTGATGGATTCTGCGGATGCAGCCGAGTTGCTCTTGAGTTCTGGCCCTTGTCATCATCTTCTGTTCTTATTTCGTAGCACCTCCAATGTTATCCGCATCAGGAAATTGCGTTTTACTCGTATTTGAGAGCGCAATTAAAGGACCTGGCAAAGTGCCAAGGAGCCGCACACGACACGCACGCTTGCAACGGATGTTATGAAGGAGCCGCAAAAGGTGTAAGGCGGAGCATGGAGGAACTAGCGTGTTTCACGGTCCTGTATCTCCATTCCTGGGCATGTTTGGGCGGGGGGACCACGACATATCGACAGCTGGGGGGCTGACAGTCTCATACACCCTCAGTGTGTTTGAACGTACCTTGTGTCTTTAAGGTGTCCTTTGATGTTTTGTGTTCGATAGTTTTGGTCTCCTTTTCGGGCCCTTATGGCACCCATTTGTTGTCACGAGATCACGACTAGGAGCAGGGACTACCGTATTAGGTTGTTATCTGTGAGGAAGGACCAGGCCATCATTCCCCTTACCGCTTTACCGCCTTATCGCTTGTTTGGCCTAATTCAGACACCCGGTGCTATTTCGCTGGGTCTCTGTCGTGCATCACGCACCCCGCTGACAGATCTTTCTTCTTGTCTCGGGAGTGTCGCGGTTCGCGACTGTAGCCTCGGGTGCACCGTGTGCATGGGCTCTGCTATCACAAGAATGCTGAGTTCTGAGCAGAAGTCGTGCCCCAGGCGGGAGTCGAACCCGCACCTCACGCTTTCCGAAAGAGCGCGCTATCCGTTACGCCACCAGGGCCGCTTTTACTCTCTCAGCTCAACGGCTTGTCCTGGGCTCTGTCATGCTCTACGGCCAAACACGCGCTGCACCGCCAACCAATAGGCGATTGCCACGTGGCGCGACGCCCACCGCCGCTACTATATAAGGCAGCCGGAGGAGAGGCTCCACAGTGAAGCTCTCTCGACGACCCTTTCTTGGGAGGAGAGCATCCCTCTCCTGAAAGGTGATGCCTGGCTCACGTGGAGTGAAGGCCCGAGCGGCACCAGACGCTGCGAGGGCTGACTTCGGGCAACGGCAGAGTGCCGCCTCACCGCAATTCCCGTTGACGTCATCAATCGATGGATCAATGGGTTGGGCGTTCTACAACAGTAGGAATGAGTGCCGGAAGAAAGGACTGATGTCGTCATAACCGCTATAATAAATGTGGGTAAACTGATGCTGTATGTTAGAGTGTAAGGGGAAGACAAGTGGGAACGCCACGGCAGGGGCCCAACTAACAAGGGAGGTCGTTCAGGACGTGGTGCGCTTTTCGAAAACGGTTTTTTGCATATTGTAGGGGCACATGCAAGGACCTGAAAAGTGTGCTTCATCATCGCTGCTCGCTTCCAAGAAAGGTTACAAAACGAGTGAGAAGAAATCTTTGGAATCTGCCTCTTTCTGGGCCTCTATACGGCGTAGGTCACTAGCAACTTTAACCAGTTGCTGAGTGGGGGGGGGGGTGCTTATGAAGAGGCTATTTGAATCGAATCGAAAAATCGCCGCAAGTGAGCTTCCAACCTGGGTCACGTGCTCAAGGGTGAACGGCTTCTTGCAATGGTTTCATCAACGATAAGAGCGCCAGCACAGTCGAGCATTGGATGGCCTAGCGTACAGAGTGGAGGTTTCGCAATCGGACAGTGAGGGTAGGGTTGATGGTTCGACTCCCCTTGTCTCCCGGCTTTTTGCATTTTTCAGGTTTCGCTGTTCTCGCTTCCATTTGTGTCTGCGCATGAATATAACTCGGATACTTGCCATTTATGGGCACATTCTGAGTAGCTATGCCCCATGAGTCAGTGCTATTCAACTGTTTCGATTTTCACGCACCATTGAACAAGATTGTAGCTGAACGGTGGTCGTCATAGACTGGACAGTGGATCTGATTGCGAATTTGGTAACTTCTGGTTTGGTGTCAATTATAGACAATTGGGGCCACATCTTCTTTCCTTTGAATTCGTTATGTTCACCAATATAGGGAACGTTCACCGCTATTCTGCCGCCAAATTGCGTGGACGCCAAGAATAGGTGCTATATTTGTGATCAGGGCCACTGGTTACCACTAAAAACGAATTTTCGGTAAAAACAATTGCTTTGACCTTCTTGGGTTTGCTTATTGGGTTGTCCGGGGTCCGAAGCGTCAACGATACGTCATCGCTGTTACAAAGGTGTGAGACCCCGCTCACACTGCCGACCAAATGGTCGGTCACCTAAAACCCGAAAAAGTCAAAGAAAAAAGTTCCGCTCAAAACCTTGCTCCTAGGGGTAATCGACAGTCCTGATCACGATTCCAGACTTTATTTTCGCTTCCACTGCCATCTGGCACCGGCATAGCGCCGAAGAGCTGAGTCTGTGTATACTAACGAATTCGAACGAAAAAGCAGTTTTGCTCCATAAAAGTAGGATTGTTCAGTTTATCGTGAATGTTTTTGTCAGCACCAATTATTTAGACAAACATGGGTCCAAAAAATTAAATTTTGTCCTCGGTGGGATCCGAAACATCGGCTTATTTTTTTACGTTTTTGTTTATTCCTAGAAGGGCGCAGCGAAAATGAACCTCAGTTTTCTGGTCCTCGTATGTGCCCCTACAATATGCACAAGACCATTTTGAAAAAGCTCACCACGCCCTGAACGACCTCCCTTGTAAGGCGCTGTAGACTGTGGTGTCTTGTTGTGTTATGTGTTGTGCGTCCAAGCGACCAGGGAATCCCTGGTCTGGTCCTCCTGGCCGGGATAGGGGTAACCAGTCACGGGGACGTGTTTATCGCATGTTCCCCCCACAATCCCCTTGTAGACCCTCGGGGAGCGGAAGCTGTACTGAAGGGAAACCAGTACGGTTTCCGAGGAAGACCCTTAAGATAACGTGAGCTTCTGGGAAACGGGACTCGCGAGAGCTCTGAACCACCTGGATGCGTCGACGATTTGGACTTACGCAGATTTGCAGAAGCCAGTCGAAGTGCACCTCTTTCATATCCTTAAAGACAAATGGTTCTAAATTTACAATCCCCGTAGAGTACACGGATGTTCATCACCCTCCATCGTCGGATATTCGAAGTACAGCAAACGCTAATGTTGCAATATTCGAGGGCCAAAAACTATTCAATGGCAAAGACAGAAGAGCACCTTGGTTGCTTCCATTATTATAGCTGTGAGAGATATCGTCATCCGTACTATGCCTCCCAACTGAGCAGCGGCTCCAACCAGTGCGTATTTTCCAGGATCAATTCCTGTCTGGAACACGTGACTACGTTTATTTAAGCAAAAAAGGATACACTCCACTTACAATAGCTGGAAAAGCGTGACCAACGCCAATGCCAAAGAGACGACCCCAAGCCGCTCCAGTTAGAATAGCAGGAATAAAAACACCAGCAGGTACTGGTAGAGCAAACGTCCATAATGTAAGTATGTAATATTCAACCGAAAAAATCATTAAAGTCCACGGTCGAAATGAATCTGAAAATCACTTTGAATATATTAGCATAACAACAACAGAGTTCCGTACTAGATACCTACTTATGGGGCTGTGGAAGAGTGACTTCACGCTTTCCTCGGGATTTTGGAAGAAAAGCTTCGCCACAGCAGAGTATTCGCCTTTCTTGCACCACATCTGGAAAGCCTCGCATTACGAACTGAAACATGAGAAGAGAGCTATAGCACTCACTCACTCAC